GCCGCCATGTAGGACTGTGCCCATGGCATGCAACAACCATGGAGATCGTAAGTTTTGCTTCTTTTTGCTCAACTTGTTGGTAGATTCATTCATTTACTCAATGTTTCTCTATATGTTGTGTAGCTTGTACGCACTGATATGATGTACCACTCGTCACAGGGCAAACCATTCTCACACATACATTGTTGGATGAAACTCAAGGGGCGGTATTTATGCGACAACATGATCCATCCATGAAAAACTTGTTGAACATCCGGTAATCTCATTGAATTTGAACTAATTTTCATTGAATTTGAACTATTTATTGAACTAGACATATTTACATGCTATGTATGGATGATTTGAGCTATTTTCTATCCAAATTTCAATGAATTCTATCGTGTTTGATGAATTTCATCCAGTTTGTCGAAAAGCAATTTGAAATGCATGCGAATAACTTTGGGTGCCTGGCTCCTGCATCCATGCTCGCGGACTGGTCCCCCGGTCCGCGGACGAATGTAGTGTCCATTGTGCGGGTCAGCATTGGAGATGCCCTAACCACCTTAAAATTTCTATGGCCTAGTCAAACACTATTGAAAATAAAGTCATTCGTACTTGCCAAGAGCAAGCCACCGCCCACCAGGATCACAATTTTTGCCGAAGGAATGAGTACCGAAGCTTTAAATCCTAAACACTAATGAAGCTGTAGAAGAAATAGCAGCGAAGAATGTTGCATCTGGGAGCAAACCTTTTGTCAAAGGCCACATCTGAAGCTTTTGGACGAGATGAACAACGGATTGCTGAAAAGAGACTGGTGCACATGCAGTTACCATTGAGTTTTCGATGTTGTTTAAACTGTTTGGTAATCTTTGCACGACACTAGATGTTTGTAAACTGATTTTTTCTCACCTCCACATCCAATTCCATCCTGTAGAATTTCTCTCCCACAGTTCCACTGTTAATACCATTATACTAGTTTGCAAGAAAAGGCACCATCCATATAGCTTAAGATGTCACATTTATACAACAATATTGTGCCACCTACCTTCATTTACAAGGCGGGACAAATGCATCTGAAAAGAGAGGCTAATAGTTTGTTCTACTCAGCCTGCAAATAGTTACCCACGGTATAGTATGCAAAGAACATACACAATTCATACAGCCGCTAAAGATGAAACATTGCAGAACATGCAGTACCATCTATGTGTGTAGGCATGTATTCCTTGCCCACTTATCACTGTACTGCGCACCACCAAGGGGGTGACGGTCTAGCCCTTGCAAATTTAACATCAGACCTAGGTTCAGATATGGCGCATCGCAAAGAGGATTACTCCCCCGACGACTTTCTTTGAGTTTAATCTTCATAAGAATGACTGAGTTTTGATGTTTCCTCGCCAAACCTAGGTGGAGTTATGAGTTATACTTTACCGGGCTTGGAACCAGTTATGTTGAGACAACGTAGATGAATTGTGAGTCGTACTTTGAATAATTTCATAAATATAGTCGTGTGTATCGTGATGAAGCCGAGGCCCGGGGTCAAGCCTTCTTTTCGGAAAAAAGGATTTTGTGTGAGACCTATATCCTTAGTTGGAAGAAACGGCAATACAGAAAAAAGTATTCCAGAACCAAATTTTTAATGTGCAGTGGATTAATTCTAACAAATCTAATGTAATCCCTCCAATCCAAATTATTTGACAGTACTAAAGCTGCGTCACATTTTTTAAGAACAGATTTAATGGCGTTGCAGCCATAACAATTGACATGCCTATAAGAGAGCCAGAAACTCGGTGCTCGTAGCTACTTCAAGTTGTACAGTCGGCTGAAGCACACAAGCACTACTGCACTTGCAAATTTTCTGTCATTTGTCTGCCCTTCAATGTCCTGTATATGTGACAGACCAAGATCAGCATAGGTGTGTTAGAAATCATGAGTTCTTAATATGCTGGTGAAACGGAGAGGTCTCTCGTGCAGACAATTCTGCGTAGGATCAAGAATTGGTAATGTTGAAGCATGTGATATGAATTCTGCGTGGCGACACTTGTTAGTACAACCGGGCAAGCCCTGCCATAGTTAGCCCCTATGTAGTTTAGGTAAAAAAAAAACCATGTACCTATGGAATAAGCCACGGCGTGTGTGGTCGGGCTCGTCGCGGCGCGTCGGGTGCGCGCCGGACGTGCGGGATACACTGGTGCGGTCAGGCTTGTTGGGCGCGACGGATGCGCGAGGGACGAGCGGGGACGCAGCGGAAGCCGTGGCAAAGTGCGCGTGTATGTGTGTAGCGCGTGTGAGTGTGCGTGGCATGTGTGTAGCGTATGTGCGCATGTGTGTATGGCGTGGTGCTACAGCCGGTCAAGCTAGCTAGCTAGGTGGATTAGGCCTTATATAATAGGAGGTGCTTAGAGAGATGTTCAGAAAAATAAATCAAATTTTTCTGAAGCATCGGTGTCTAGCGTCTATCCTGTACAAGTAAGCACCGGTGCTTAAAACAAACCTGATTTATTTCTCTAAGCACATCCTCTAAGCACCTCTCATTGTACAAGGCCTTAGCCGTCCGTTGTGCGCGGCCGAAGCGTTCGCCTCAAGCACCTGAGTGCGGCGTGCATGTAGTTAGCCAGTAGCTAGGATCGTGGAGTGTGGCGTGCATGTAGGTAGCCAGTAGCTAGGATCGTGGGCTCGTTAGTTGAACGCCAAGTCGTGTGGATCGTGTTGTTAGTGGCCATCATGGTGGACCGGCTGTGCATGCGTGCGTGAGGGTACTTAAAGACCTGTGAGCTGATTGCTTTGGCAAGGTGAATACAAGTGAGAAAAAGGATGTATGTGCCTCCGAAAAAAATTCTGTGCTTCTTCTACCTTCGTCTTCTACCTTCGTCGAGAGAGAGAGGGCTGCGGAAACAACAATTGGTATACAGAGCTTCGGTTCGGGCGATCACCGGCGACCATGGCGCTCGTCCCATACGGCGGCGGCGCGGGCAGATCGGCGATGATTGCAATGCCGATGCTGACCACGAACAACTACACGGTCTGGGCCATCAAGGCGCAGGCAGTCCTCGACGTCCACACCGTGTGGGAGGCGGTGCCGCCGAGTGACGCGGAGGTGAAAGCGCGGAAGGAGAAGACAGCGCGCGCGTTGCTACTCGGGGCATTACCGGAGGACGTGCTGCTGCAGGTGGCGACGAAGCTCACCGCTAGGGAGGTATGGGACTCCCTGAAGGTGAGGTTTGTCGGCGCCGATCGGGTCCGCGCGGCGAGGCTGGCGACGCTGCGCGGCGAGGTCGACCGCCTGAAGATGGCGGACGGCGAGGAGCTCGACGTGTACGGCGGGAGGCTCGCGGCGATGGCGGCGAGGTACGCCAACCTCGGGGAGACGCTGGGCGACGCGGCGCTCGTCAAGAAGCTGCTGGATACGGTGCCGGATCGGCTCTTCCCCGCCATCGCCGACATCGAGCAGTTCCACGACGTGACGACGATGGCGTTCGATGAAGCGCTCGGGCGGCTGCGCGCGTTCAACGAGCGAGTTCAGCTTCGATGGCAGGACAAAGGCGAGCGGGCGGACGGACAACTCGTGTTCACCGCGGCGCAGTGGCCGACGCGGGAGCGGCAGTAAGGCGGAGCACGGGACGACGACGACGGGCGCAGCGTGGCGTCGGGGAGCGGCGGCAATAGGCGCAGGCGCTGCTACAAGTGCGTGGAGCACGGGCACTTCCGGCGCGAGTGCCCGCAGCTGCGGAAGGGACCGGCGGCGGAGCAGACTCTCTTGACCAACGCCAACGTCATCGACGACGCACTCCTCTAGGCTGTGACTTAAGGAATGTGTGTTGAAATAAGCCACGGCGTGTGTGGTCGGGCTCGTCGGAGCTCGTTGGATGCGTGTGGGACGTGCGGGATACACTGGTGCGGTCGGACTCGTCGGGCGCGTCGGATGCGCGCGGGGCGAGCGGGAACGCAGCGGAAGCCGTGGCAAAGTGGGCGTGTATGTGTGTAGCGCGTGTGTGCATGCGTGGCGTGTGTGTAGCGTATGTGCGCATGTGTGTATGGCGTGGTGCTACAGCCGGTCGAGCTAGCTAGCTAGGTGGATTAGCCGTCCGTTGTGCGCGGCCGAAGCGTTCGCCTCAAGCACCTGAGTGCGGCGTGCATGTAGTTAGCCAGTAGCTAGGATCATGTAGTGTGGCGTGCATGTAGTTAGGCAGTAGCTAGATCATGGGCTCGTTAGTTGAACGCCAAGTCGTGTGGATCATGCTGTTAGTGGCCAGCATGGTGGACCGGCTGTGCATGCGTGCGTGAGGGTAGTTAAAAACTTGTGAGCTGGTTGCTTTGGCAAGGTGAATACAAGTGAGAAAAGGGCTGTATGTGCGGCGGAAAAATTCTGTGCTTCTTCTACCTTCATCTTCTACCTTCATCGAGAGAGAGGGGGCTGCGGCAACAACAGAGTCACCTCCGCCTCCGCAGAAGGTAGAGCGTTTGATTCGATAACCAACAAGTGTTCATGTATTGTTTTTCTTTAGAAACACTACGGGACTATATTTCCTTAGTTTGCGAGCCCGGGATCCCGGGGGATCCCTGCTTATTCCCTGGCCAGAGAAACCGCGGGCTGGAGCGGCCCCGAAAAATCCATCGTGCAATTTGGACAGCCATCTGGGGGAGGGACCCCGACCCTTTCCACAATTTTTCCCCGGGAAAGAGTTCCACACCTTGTTAGGTCGAGGAAGAAAGAACTCATTCGCTCGCTTGCTCTTGCGCAGAAAGGCGACGGCGCGTCAGCGACGCCCCTCGAGCTTCTCTGTCTGGCGGCCGGAACTGCAGGTTTCGCTTCCCTCCGGCGTCAGCCCCTAATCCCTCCCTGCACTTGCAAGCTCCTCTTCTCTCCGTTCACGGCGACGCTGACGGCTCACGCTCCTAATCCTTCGCCCAAGGTAAGCCCTCTCCTCTCCCTCCCCCTCATCCTCTCCCCCTCCCCCTCCCCCTTCTGTCGTCCAGTGTCCAAACAACAATGTGAAATTTACCAGTGGTGGTCCGGGATCCCAATTGTGCAGGGAAATCCCACCTTGGGGGTTTCCTGCCCATGGTTTATCACCCCCAACAACTAAATGAGCCCTTACAGTACGAGCCATTATCAACAACATGAGCCATAATGTACAGAGACTGGATTTTCTACCATGCACGGGAGGTCCCGTGCATGGTCTAGTTGGCACTCTTTGTAGAATACCTTATTAATATGTCTAGAACTATTCATCAACATTAAATGATACATGGGCCCAGTAATGCAAATTAAATGTCATCCCTGTGGGGAACAAGTCTATCTATACAAAAGCTAGCATTTTATTTTCTTATGAGATATTAATTCGTCAATATATTTTGAATATTAATTCCATATTAAATTTTTTGAATTCCTAACGACATGCTCTTTAAAACAAGGTTAATATTGAATATATTTTAATTGAGTTTCAATTTCATTAGCATATTTCACTCATTTTTTAAAACTGATTTGACTCGTTTTAAAAAGCATATTCCAGTCATTTAAAATAGTCCTTTATGTCAAAATGTTGGCTTTACACATTCCAAACAATGCTTTTACTCATTTGGAACAAACTAATTTTGCTTAATTCAGAAAAAGGATTTCACTAATTTCAATAAAATAATTTCACTCAATTTTTATTTGTATTTCACTCATTAAGAATCATTTCAATAACTGATTTAATCATTAAAATTTTCTAAAGGTCGAAATTATAACATGTTTAGAATCTATCCAAGGTTGATCTTGTTCTAAAGGTCTTGATGCGATGAGTTCAAATATATAAAAACTTCCAAAAAAAGGAATTTTGGTTCCAAAGATATTAGATTTTGTAAAGGAAACTAAAAAATGATGGATTTTGAGAGGAAGAGAGGAGATGCTGTCAGCTATGCATGTGTCATAGTTTGTGAGCAGAGAGAGAGAAACACATGCATGGTATTAAGTGGACTGACATGATACGATGCTATATTAATGCGAACGGCATACTCTATACGTATACACGAAGCATAGTTTGCATGCACTCGGATCTCGAGCGTAATCCAGCGATGGATGCAATGCACTGGACCTCCCGTGCATGGGAGAATCGCTTTTCTCATAATGTACAATACAATTGCTGGTGGAGGGGCAAAGAAAGTAGAGCAAGATTATACAAATGCAAGAGAAAAATTAGTAGAGAAATGCAAGATTGTACACCGGTTTTCAGTACTTTATGGCTGGTACATGTCCATGCCAGGTTCAACATAGTTTCTTCAGATCATGAGATAAACACAGCTGAAAAATGATGAGGAATAGTCCGTGCTATCGTACGTGACCAGACAAAGAATCGCCCTCGTTATGGTTTGCAATAGCAGGCAATATTCATACACCTAGAATGTCACATTATACTCTACCAGCTACCTTCATTAACAACACCAAACAAATGTAGTTGAAAAGAGAGGCTGATAGTTTGCGCTATCTTCTCAGCCGACATTGTTTTTGATAAAGGGTGCTTTTACTAACTCAAAATGTAGCATCAAGTGAATACAAAGCATGATGAGCAACACCCAGCCTCTGCATATCTAAGATGCACCTGACCAACACCAATAGTCTGACAATAATAAAATGAAGATCCGACACATCGGCAACGAAAGAGTCATATGACCGACACTATGCCTAAGTCGAGGGAGGTGATGAACCGATCCGGAGATTATGTTGTCACCCATGTTGGGTAAAAACCTCCATGGCCACCTGCTCCAACCGCATAAACACCGCCTTGAACAGCACTTGGTACTCCATTCGGTGTAGCATAGACCACATACGAAGCAAGTATGTACAACGAAAAATAACCTGCAAAGGAGAGCAATTTTGCTCTAAAAAACAAAATCATTTCTTCATAGCCAAAGCGACCATAACAAGGAATACACTCCCACCCTTATTAGCGTTTGGAACCTATTTGGAATACTGTTGTCCAAACAATGACCGAAAATATTGGTAACACTTATGGGCGGATACAAATTAGATGCTACATGGATGACTGACCATGTAGAACGCGTAAACTTGCGCTGAAAAAAAAAGGTGTCTGATTGTCTCGTTGTGAGCACAAAAACAACACTTTTTGCTTCCTTGCCGGTTGTGGCGGGCGAGGTTGTCTTTGGTTAGCACAACTCCCCTCCTAAGATAACGCATGAATCGTTTAGCTTTTAGTGGAATCTTGGACTTCCAAATTTTCTTATTGTTATCCACTGGAACGTCCGAAAGCGTGAGTGCCCGGTACATCGAGTTGACTGTGAAGGGCCTAGATGTAGTGAGACTCCAGCGAAACTCATCTCATCCTTGTGTCTAGGTTAATCGACTCCAATCTGGATAACATATTTTGCCATGACATAAGACGACGCCCAATCAAATCCCGCCTGAAAGCAATATCTCAACCGACAAATAACTACCCGCAATACAATTTGCAAAGAACAGACACCATCCATGCAGCTAAAGATGCCACATTAATAGCTACATTCATTAACAGCGGACCTTGGTAAAAGAAAAATAAATTACAATGCCTTGCTATTTTCTGGATAATGAAAACCCAAATGGTCCCAAAAAAGTAAAGAATGGCTCTGGCAGCCGTTTGATCTATCATCACAGAGCGGCCAAGTTAGGGCCCTTGGTATTGCTCTTGACAAACAAAATGCACAATAATTTCATGATCAAACTACCAATATAGAAGGTCAGCAACCATTTCATCAACCAATGACTCAAGCAACTCTGGTGTTATGCCTTTTGCAGCTTCATACGACCGCGTCTTGAAATCTACCCAGCTCCGGAGAGGACCACTCATTTCTTTGGACACGAGCTCACCCACTTCTCGTCAACCTTCAGACTTGTCATCTCTTGGTACATTTCTTCCGGCAAGAGCTTTACATGTGATGTACATATCAGGAGTCAAAGGAAGCGCTTGCACAGATGATATTGATGCCTGCCAAACTGGTTGTGCCCATCATCTCCTGTAACTAGTTGCCTTCACAAGACACATAACAATTTGGAACTAGTAGGCCTAACTGGTTGAGTCGCAGTATCAGGCGCTGCACGATGCTGTGACCGTCGTCGCCTACATCCATGGCCATATTGTCGGGCATGTAGTTTGGCTATGCATTTTTTGCCCCTCCACCTCAGCAACTTCTTTCTCATGGTGGAACAAGAATTTGCTGGGTTATATCACGACCGCGTCGTTATGGTTGGCCAGGAATCGATCTGGCTGCGCAGCCATGAGCACCAGTAGCTCAGCCCACAGGAGGACCCCGCCAGGCTAGTGCACGCTATCAGCACAGATCACCGGATGGATGCGAGCTCGGGCAAGGAGGGAGCGCAGCCAGAGCCTGACAAGCCTTATGCAGCACCTCTCAAGATCATTTGCAACAGGTTAATTAACATAACATGTTTCTTTAATTATGTTTGATTCACCACATGAGTTTAAATCAAAAAATTCTAAACAACACTTCTCAAAGAACCAGAAAGGGTAGAAACAGATAAACATGAGGGGGGAAATAGAGTATTATTGTTGATCAGAAACATTTTAGAAAAAGATAAAATGTCTAACAAATGATTGCTTGCCCAGATATGAG